AACGTGATACAAGGGCGATTGTACGTGTGATGTGAAGTAAAACTCGGCAACATTAATGCATTTTTTTACTTGGGAAGAAGGTGGAAGGTGTGTAGTCGATCGGATATAACGGTGTTTGGTAACTTAAGTAGATAATGTACTTCTGTCAATGTTTCTAGTATATATACTAAAAATGGGCTCTTTAGAGAGCATGTTTTCACTGAGTTCATAAGTTGGGTGAGGTATCCTCATAATAACCTTATTATTATACATCTTTTCCTTCCAAGGATACATCATGGGAATGCTGAAATCCAAAAACTTTAGAACAGAATCAAAGAACTTCTTTGTATCCACATCGTCCGGTCAAACCCTTATGGCAGCCATGTTTGTTTTTATTCTTAGAGGATGCTTAATATGTGCATAATCATTGCATATTTCAAATTTGCATTTCCTTATATGGTAGGATGAAAATACCCTGTAAAGTGCCGCAAAATTACGACACGCTGTAAGTTATGGCGTTATGGTGACAGATGTATTATAGTATAATCAGAACAGTACTAATTAGTGATAATAATAACTTGATTCACTTCTTGTATCGTTTACTGTCTTGATGTTTCAGGTCTGCCATGTCTGGCATATGGTATTGGTGCATGGTTCCTTATTACCTGTTCGGATGATGTCCAAACTGAGAAGGGCTCAGTGAAAGTCTATTTTCTCTATAAAGAAGACAAAGGATCCATTTACTGAGAAATATTTAGGATATTGTATTTGAGATTCCTAGTCACATTATTGTGTTTTTATTCAAAATTCAAATTTGTGTTTGTACTGCTGTAAACTGAAATGTAATAAAGGCTATTTATTTATTTATTGTGATTTTCTCCACCACTTGTTTACATAGAGGTGTCTTCCTTGACCTTGATCATTTAATTGGCTAAAATGTATCTCCATCAGAGATGTGCTTCAGATAGAGCCACAATGGATGGTTATTTATTACACAATTTTTTTTGGCTGCCAAAAATTTCAATTAAAACCAACCTAGTGCTTCTTGACCAAACATACTTGTCCATTGCAGCACTTGTCCATGATAAATGTCCAAGTCTGACTCATTTTCCCAAAGTAAAATCTTTTTGTAAAGCCTGACCTGATATGCAATTCTGCATTGTTTCATCATGTGATCTGTATAAAATCCCTAAAACCATTCATGAAAACAAAAGTTTTAGGAAGTTTATGGTATCCCACATAAAGTAGATAATTTTTGACAACTCAATCGTGGGAAATCTACATTCATGTTTAGTATAAATTACCAATATTCAAAAACAAATCACATTTGTTTTTATCCATACATGGAAACATCTCTACTAAATTGGAGATGGTCTCCTGACATATTAGCCTAAATTATTCACACCTAGAATATTCAGTTGGAGATTTGTCGAAATCTATATATACTTTGATAGAAACCAAGGATAATTCATATACTGTACATGTGGGAATATATCGAAAATTGAAGTCATCCTTTCCATACTTCAGTATTGGAATGTGTCATTGATGTACTGAACATTGTTTCATGAACTCTCAACAAAAATTAAACAATGCGTGTGGACTTCCATGTGAGAAGCATACAATGGGAGTCTTTGTGGTTAGTGCATCTGTGTGTGTGTGTCTATTCCACTGATATCTCAAGAACCATTTTTAAACATTTTCACTTGCTTCTCATGAACTATTAAACAGATTTAAAAGAAACTTGGTACTTAGATGTTCTGGGATAATGTGCAGATCTGATTAGTTTTGGTGGAAATCCCATGCATATTAATTACCTAATTTGCATATAAGCCAAATTTAAGCCTTTTCACTTGCTTCTCATGTACTATTGAACAGATTTCAATGAAACTTGTTACTTAGATAATGCTTATACCTGATTATTTTTTGGTTGAAATCCATGTTTATTAATGACTGATTTGCATATTAATTAGCCAATATTTAACTTTTCCAACATTATCTCAACCACTCATCTGATTCAATAAAACTGTATACATATATGCTTAGGGAAAAGCCATATACATGTTCAGTTTAGGGTTAAATTTTGTGTTTACAAATTACCTAATTTGCATAAATTAACCAATTTATAGGTGCTTCTCAGATAACTTGAGTACCACCCATCAAATTTTGATCAAACTTGTAAATACAATATTCCTTATTTGTACTTCATGCCTCTAATTCCTTCAGCCTTCTAAGCTTTCTGTGATTTTATCTTTGTTTTTGACTTGATTCATACAGAAAAAATTGGTTCGTCATAGTTTAAAACAGTATATATTTTTATTGATATTGAATACTGAGTTTCAAAAATATTGCAGTTGATTTATAATAGATTGCCACAAGTTCTCAATCAACACAAGATCTCAATTTATCATCTTAGGATTTTGACATATTATCTCAAATATTCAACTTATCACGAGATTTTTTTTTTTTGCTTTCAGCAACGATCCTTCTTAACCTATACACTCTAACCCACAATTTTTCATTTTGATAAC